ATGAGGTCTGTCTTATCAGGTAAATTACTGTACACAGTGTATTCATTAATTTTCATTTTCATGTAGTGGCTCTATGCCTTCATAAAGGACGTACTTTTCCTTTGTTTAAGGGTATTTGGGCAGTTTATTCTCTGTTATATTCTGTACAAGTAAATACTGTACAAGTACAGTACAGTATTTTCTGAGGAAATACTCGTACTTATTTTTTTTAACCCCATTCCCGATAACTCGGCATTTTCACAAACTCGGCCACCCTTCGGTCCACATTAGGTCGAGTTTTCGAGGTTCTACTGTATTAATAAAATTGCTCTATTCAATATAATATCAATTTATAGATCAATACAATAAATAAATTTTAAAAAATAACTAGTTTAATTAGTTTTAGATCCCATTTTCACTGATTCTAAAATGTGTCTCTAGTTGGATTGTAAATGATATGGTCTGTTTACCTAATAAATGAAATAACCATATCTGTTTTATTGAAATTAATCACTTTTCTGTATATAGAAAGAATATCTAAAGTAGAAAAACAATTTATTTACAACACAACAAACTGAAATAATCTCATATATATGTGACTTGCTTCCATGTCACATTCTGGTAAAATTAATTTGTTTCACGAAAATCTATATTAAAAATTGATTAACTAACAGTGTAAAAATTCACATCATAGAAAAAATTTACCTATTAAGTTTTATTTTAATACAGTTATAATCAAACACCAAATGCTGAGCTTACTATTAATTTAATTAATATTCAAATGCTTTCAGCTTATTTATAATAGGCCATCCTCAGGAAAATTACTGTTCCACAATCGAATACAAAGCTTTTCAAGCTTTTTAACCTTGTTGTTCATGTCACATTCAGTCTTATTAATATAATCCTTAATGGCTTCATTATACCTTCTTTCCATAATCACCATTTGCTTGGTCTTGTCAGCTTTTGTTAACACCAACTGATTTTTTGCTAGCCATTCTTTTGTATACTTTATATTTAACTTTTCCTTACATTCTACCTTGTGCCTTTCCTTTTTTCTGAATACCATCCTCCATCTAAAATAATCCCTTTCAACTTCATTAATTAAGACCGGCCATCCCTTTTTCCATTTCAGCCATTGTAGTTTCCCAATTGCTCTTGCCATTTGGAACATATCTGGGTCCATTCTTTAACATCGTCTCTACATGTTTTGGTACTTCAATCTGATCCCACAGAATATAAGGTGTTATACTTCTTTTCTGTTCCTTGGGAGCCTGTTTCTTTAAAATCCACCCTATTTTTTTGAAATACCTCCTTTCCAAGGTATTCATAACTCAGTCTGTTAGTCTTACTACCCTACCATTGATTTCTTTTAACCATCCCAGATTTTTTTGGCATATTGCATCTTCCAATTCAACGTACTCCTTTAAAATTCCATATTTTTAAAGTGTACAGTGTTTTGTTTCTTCTCTTTTCTAAAGTTTAAAAAAAATTTATAATGGTAGAAATGCTATAAAACACAATTTCAGTACATTTCATTATTTGATTATTGTTTCAGAACACTCTTTTATTATGTATATTTTTGGTTTTGCTTCCAAAAACTTCATTAATCCTGTCTAATAGAATTAGTATTGTTGAAAAAGAATGAAATGCCATAATAAAGGAATCACAATAGTACTGTATTTGTTTCTATGATTTAATATTTAGCCATGAGCATTCTTTTCATGATATTAATATATAATTTCAACCCGATATAAAAATTTACTACAGATTCATCAGTTAACCAATACAAATACAGAGATTTTAATAAATGAAAAACTTTCTAAATGTAAACTTTTACATATAAATCATATGTTAATACACTTCATAATCATTAATTGGGAATCTTTATAGTTAAATATTAATTTGTGTAGAAACTTGATTTTGTGAAGAATATATGTATAGTTTGGGAATGAATTGTTATCAAAGATGCAAGTGTTTACATGGCATAAGGCATTTTCTAGATGTAAAAACATGCAAAATTTGGTACATCCAGTTTGTCCCAAGACTAACAACTCCAAACAACATTAAAGCAATTTGAGGCCTTAATGAAAGTGGCTGGCAGTTAACAGTAGATACAATTTGTAAGGAAATCGGGATAAGCCACAGCAGTGCACAGTCCATCATTTGAAATGAATGAAAATTTGAAAAAAAATTGTGGCACAATGGGTTCCATGCCTCAGATCAGAGACTGCTGAATTATTACAAGGTAGAAGGGGATGCATTTTAAATTGCATTCTCAACTATGAGGAGCCATGGGTGAATCACTATATCCCAGAGTTGAAGCAGGTCAATATGGAACGGCAAAGAAATTGATAAAACAGGTTCCATGAAAGCAAAAAAACAGTTAACTGTGGGTAAGGTTCTTGCCACTGTGTTTTGGGATTACATAGGAGTTGTGTACATTAATTTATTAATTTCCTCCTTGAACAAAGGACAATTAATGCTACCTACTATTGCCAAATAATCAAGCAGTCTATCAGTCCAAAAGACATGGTGTTACCATCTACAGCATGTCACCCAAGAGAAATTAATGAAAATGTACTGAAGCTCTGTCAAACATCCCCCATACATCCTGAACATATTGCCATTTGATTACCAACTGTTTGGACCACTGAAGGAGGCATTGGGAAGAGGAGGAATTCGAAAATGATGAACTGGTGGAAAATTCTGTGCAATTGGAATTGTATGCAATTGTTGTTCCTAAAGCCATCTGTTCATCATTAGTTTTTACTAGTTCCCACTAGTTTCTATGATGCAGGAATCAAAAAATGCCAATGGAAAAGTTTTTAAATGTTAAAGGAAATTATGTAAAAAAAAAAATAAATGGATATTTTTCAAATGTACACATATTAATAAAGAGGACAAAAAAACTGGTTTACATTTGACGGACACTCCTATTTAAAATCAAAACTAACAGAATACAAACAATAGTTTTAATGTATAACATTTTAATATTTTCGGAATAATCATTCCACCATTATCTTTTATATAAATTTGTATTATAAAAATTATTCTATACTAATTAAAAAAAAAAATCTCTTAGAATAAGTATTCCAAAAATATTGAAGTGATTAATAACAAATTATTTAACTCTAATACACAACAATAACTATTTTCCTTTTATTCACACGAACAATTCACAAAGTTGTAGTTTTATAGTTCAGCAATTCTCAAAGTTACTCGATTTGCAGACCACTTAAACCGAGTCGCAGACGAAACGAACCGTGTACCACCTAAACCCCATCCACTCCTTATACTACAAATATTACCTTAGACGTGTGCCATAATATTTTGTCAATCCATTAACCTAACACAAGAGAGACGCGATACACGAAAACATTCTTTTCTCCAGCTAAAGATCAAAGATTCGCATTTGGAAAAACAACTGGAGCGACTAATCTCCAGTTACACGAGCAATAACACAAACTTTTTAAGAACGTCACACGGCATTGATTCATCGAGCGAAATCCTCGACGCAGTAATTCAAGACAGAAGCCCGTGACCACGAAACATGCTTCGAGAATGGCCGTAAATAGAATAACCGCTTTACAAAATGCACTTTTTCTCATCCATAGAATCACAATCCGGAAAAACCAATCAACCAATCAAAAAAGAACAAAAAAATCACAAAAGCATAAACAAACTAACATTTAGAGGAACGGTTCACATGACAAATTCATAATAAAAACACTCATTTTTTTTTTTTTTTAACTTGTGAAATATTTTAAAATAAAGCAATTACTATTTAAAATTGATATAAGTGTATCAAAATGCTATTTTTGAAACAAGTTTGGAGAATTTTGACCTAGACTTACTGTATATAGGTTACCTACCACATATTGACACAAGCAGACAGTCAACAGTGACGCATCAAAATTCGAAATTAGTTTATCCGAGTTAAAAATTTGACAAATACGACGAACGACGTCATTTTTTTGGCAAATAACCTAAAAAAAATCTCTTACGTATCGATACGTTACGCAAATTACCGCAAAATAAATACCGTACGTAAACACGCGCAATTGATAAAATCGTATATACGTATCGGATTATTTCGATAAAATTTTCGATTAATTTTACGCGTACGAAACTGTTTCCGCGCGAAAAATATCGTTTTCGAGTTAATTTGAACGTTTAAAAACCGGCAAATAAAAGAAACGAATATAAACTTTTAACCCTAACCTGTTTCTTTACCATTCTCGTCTGTCGCCATAGTTTCGCTTCTCTTTTCGGTATTATATCGAATTAATTATAAATATTGATTACTTAACAATTGGAGAAATAATTGAAAAAAATGCAATCTGGCTGATTAAGTCCGTCTGCGATTCGTTAACGTGTCGCAATTATTCATCACTTCAGATGTTTCGAGCGTCTTCCTTCGATGTTGATTGTTTTCTTCTTCCCTCGTGGCGCCATCTGGTCAATGTTTTATGCTTAAAACCGAAACTGAAGCCAAAAACCAATTTAAAAAAAAAAATTTTTTAATACAAAACATTTATTATNTCGGCGCATTACACGGCAAAGCAGCGGATATATAAAGGATTTTCCCATACGAATATTTGCCTACGATCATTGCAATGCTTAAGTAATTTAACATGGTTCCAAAGTGGAAGATAATCGTGTTCTAGCACCTTTTTCGCTAATTCTGTAGCTGGTCTATTATTTCTAATGTCTTCTTGATGTTTGAGGATGCGGGACCGTATCATTCTGGTGGTAGCTCCAATATAGTTAATTTCCTCCTCTGATACTGTATGTTTTAATAGAATTTTGTAAACCCCCGATTTTTCATTCAACGTGAGAATGTCTCTATCGTTGCACAATGTTCTTCGTAGTAATGGTTGAGGGGTTATAGGTAATATGAAACCATGTTTCCTGAATATGCGTGTTATTTTTAGTGCGATGGTGCCCAGGTACGATATTGGAGGGTTTATTATCTTTAGGCTTTCTTTGTTGCAGAGGAAAGATTTTGGAAATAATTTGTTTATGACCCGGTTGTAGAGATATCAATATTTGGAGTTAGAATACCCGGCATTGTGCATTACTCTTTTGATAATTTGTAATTCTTCATCAATTAATGTCTGGGAAGATGGAATGAGGAAAGTGTAATATATATATTTTATATATTACACTTTGAAAAGTATTATGGTTACAATAAAAATGGCATGGCCTTATTATACACTTTTGCCATATGTGGTACAGTGGGTGATCGGTTAACGAACAGATCGGATAATGAACAAATCGAATAATGAACACTTTCGCGAAAGATTTTTATGTTCGGACAACAAACACTGCACAGAACAAACACAAGAAGAAGCGACGTAAAATAATGAATACCAATTGGTCTTCTCTTGTCTTCGGGCAACAATTTGAAACTTTTCGGAGTGTGGGAGATGTTGACATCGATGCTCAAGCCGGTATATACCGATCGGATAGTATTCCTCCGAACTTTGAAACTATCCCTTATAATTCCAGCCTTTTATTTTTCTGACAGAAACAATTCTTTTATGTATTCACGAGACTGTCGGGCAGGCACTTGTTAAGTTTTGCATGTGTTTTTATTTTCGAAAGGTGAGAGTATAATAGCAAAGGTACAGAGAGAGTAGGCAGAAGATGTCTGATGTTGCTGGGCAGTATGGCTTGAACAGGTCTATAGTAGGCCACAGTTCAATCTTATCTAACAAAAATACTGTATAATCAAGAAGACTCAAGCAGCTAAAGGAGTAACAAAAATCACACCTGAGAAATAAAGAACATTGAAGAGTTCATAATGGAACCTGAAACGGATCTGACGACAGAAGAATGCCAATAACTCTTGAATGAAGAACACCAAGAAACTCGGTGAGATATGTTTTCTTCTGAAAAAGAGGATTAATGCCAATATTTGCTATTAAAGATCTTTTGAAAAAGTGGGAAGATGTCAGAACAACTGTCTTAGATTGGCATCCAAACCAGGTTGAGGCTTGGGGATTTCTACAATTGCAATGCTATTAATTACTTACGAAAAATCCTGAAGAAGAGAGAAAAGCAATTGACATTAGACAGATTCTTTAACCCTTTCAAATGGAAAAAACATGACTAATAAAAACACAAGACTGTGCATGTATGTATTTTTATTATTACATATAAATAAACGTAGTAAGAAAGTATAATTTTTTAATTTTTGGCGGTCTCCGGAACAAATGAATTAAATTCCCATTAAAACAGCTAAAGTGGCAAGCAGCTAAGTAAGCAAGTTAATGACAGTTCACTTTATATGAAACAAATTTTGTTATTTGCCTGCTTCATTTAGCTGCTTACCATATATAATGCTAATCTTTTCAGATTCTTGCAATTTTTCTCCAATATCATTAAAATCTAATTCCATAAAAAACTGTCTCATTCCTATTAATTTTTTCAGAGCATTTCATCTTAGTTTTCATAGAAGCATATTCTCTCTCTTCTCACATATACTATATTAATTAATTGAATTTTACATAAATTACATATTGTAACTATAAGAACAATGAATTTACATGGGAACACTGAATGGCCATCTGACAGTACTTGCACAGTAGACTGGATTACTATGTAATGAGAAATACTTTACATAACTAATAATTTAAAACATTGTTGCAGAATAAACTGTGCAGTTGTTTTTGTGTATAATGTTATAGATAACTGAATTTCAATTTTCAAACTCAGAGGTGTCAAATGTCTGTTAATCTAGCAAGTCAACTAAGAAAAGATTGGTTAAAAGTGACTGTCATCAGAAGTATTTAAGCATTAAATTTATAAAAATAGTCTTAGTCTTAAACTCTAAATTAATATATTCAAAGTTATCAATTTATTTGCTTTGGTTTCCACCTTTACAAAGGGGGTACAAAACTTGAAACAGCATTGTTAAAATACAAACATTATTGTATTATTTATTATCTACTTACAGTTATATATAACTTAAATTAGTAAAACTATGTTAACATATTTAGTGAATAACAAAAAATTTAAAAATTTTATAGAATGTGACAAAACTTAAATTATCACCATATAAACAAGTCATATTAAAGTCAGTTGTCAAAAAAGTATCCTTTAAATGTTCAGTAAATTCACATGACATGAACAAATGATTCTTAACATTTTCAAAAAATTTATTACATGAACAACAATTGAAGAAAGCTGACATGTTAATTCTGTGACCATTTAATACAACAGTATATTTATTAAGTTGTAATTGAATTATTAAAGATTTAATCTTATAGTTTATATTAGATAAGAGAGAGTATCGAGATGTCCATGGAGAAGAAAGAAATGCTTCGAAAAAACTATACTTTTGCTCTATATAGAGAATATCTTGAGCCCAATATTTATCTTTCAGTGACTGGAAAAGTTCAGCTAAAAAAAGTCTTTTATTGGAAAAATAAGCAATATTCAAAGACATAAATTTCAGTTAAAGGAAATCTTTATTATAACATTATTATTATTATTATTGATATATTATATATATATATATATATCTTATGAGATAAAATTTAAGATACTATATTAAATACAATACTGAATTATAAGCAAAAGACAAAACTAAAAACCGATAATAAAATAAAACTTAAATAAATAAGTACTTTTACATTTGCCATATGTTAAACCTGATCATTCATTCAAATATGTATGAAATAATAAAGTAAATAATATAACATGTTAAAGTACAAAAGTGCAAATACACTAAAAAGTTTTGATAATATTTGATTTCACTTATTCCAACAAAATAACATTTAATGTTTAAACTCCATTGGTTAAAAATTATTTCTTGTCCAGGATGGATGGACACATACACACAAAACTGTAAGATGATGTAAAATAATCAATTGTAAGTTTTGTTATGAAATGATAATTATTTTCAAAAATCAATGGTAAGATTTTATGGGATTATTATGAAAAGAAATATTAATAATCACTGTGCTCCAGAAATTCTGTTACAATCGAAAAGTAAAACAGATTTTTTTTCATATTGTTACTAGTGAACAAACAAATTTATGAATGTCACACACAATATATCAAAATTTGATTTCATGCTACATTCAAAGAAAGTCTCTTATAATGCTTTTAATTAAATAATGAATTTTTTTCTTGAGATGAACCAAATCCTGAACTCATACTATATATCATTTGATCCCACAAGAAAACATCTAAACGGAACAAGATCAGGACTTATTGAGAGCCAACAGATGAATCGATTTTGTACAATTCATCCTGAAAATCTAACATTTAACATATTATATACTCAATCATTACACCTTGTGCACATTATGTATGATGTATTAAATATCATACTTCCAGAACAGTGGATCAGACAGAATGGAACCAATATTAGTTCCAAAGAAATCAACTTTACCTCTTTAGACTTGTGAGCCATGTTAAAAACATGGTATATAGTGAAATTTGAATTCCCTGTAAGAAGAAAATTCATGACAATAATTTTAGAACATTGCTATATTTCAAATTCATATTGGTATTCCATCCACACGCTTTACTCTATTTCATAAAACTTTTTGAAATCTTAAAATTTGATAGCAGTTGTATTCGATATTCGCCTGATGATGATAACTTTATGCTACTGAAAGTTCTAGCAAACACCCTTATACTCTATAAGTTGCTATTGGTAATGCCACAACACCCAAGTGTAGTTATTATATTCATGACAAACATTACACTTGACACTCTTGATCAAATGAAGCATTAAACTGAATTTCAATATTCCAAATACACATATCTACTAATGTGAAACATAATTTGTTTGTTACTGACTAATATAAAAATTTTCAGTTATTGTCTCTTACAATGTTCTCACAAAACCATACTATTCATTTTAGAAATTTGTAATTATTTCTTATGGATTAATTATGTTATTTATGAAATGATTAATCATACCATATCATAAGAGTATTTTTTTTTTTAATCAAGAATGACTTCTTCTGAAATCAATTTTCTAGTTATTTAATTACTATGTTTCAAAAAATTTTCTATAATCTATAATTTTTTTCATTACTATACAGTAAAACTTCTCTAACTGGCAGCTCCAAAGATCAGAAAAAACTTTGACTTAGAGAATAATAGAGTGAAAATACCAATTCTGAATAGATTTGTATTTTTACTTCTTATATTATATAAAAAATCTTTGATAGTTTTTTTATTTTAAACAGCCCATGTAACACTTTCCAACAAAATGTTCAATGTAACCAATAGAATCTAAAAGTTTTGTAAGTACATCTTGTTGGGATAAAGTGAGAGATCCTCTTGCTTTGGACTGGAACATTGTCTGCAAATAAGTGTTGGATAATAGATACAATTAACTGTCTGAAAATTTCACGAAAGTCCAATAATTAGAAACATTTTGGATAGAGTAAATATTAAAATTCAAGTTGGGGAAGTTGAA